CTGCTGCGGCCTTTGCTGCCTGGTCTGCCTTCTCATTGCCCTCCACCCCACAGTGCCCGGGGACCCACTGGATAGCTACCACTTGGCCCCGGGCATGGAATGCAGTTTTAATTGACCATGCCAAAAGGACGCAGCACCTCTGTTGAGATCGTCAATCCCCGTTCTCCCTCCATTGAAATTACAAACACCTACATCAACAATAGCAACAACCATGTCCTTCCATGGCCTTTTACTGATGATATTCTCGACAATCCTCAGCTCCTCCAGCATGCCATCAGTGATCTGATCGAGTATCGAGATATTGCCATCGAACACCTCAAACAACTTCAGCAAGAGGAAGGAATTGAGGAGGGAACTGAGGAGGATCCAATCAATGTTTGAATGCTGTCTCAAGATCCTGTAGCTACATAGGAATAATGGGAATCGATTTTCATGAAAAGCTAGCAATAATATTGTACAAACTAGCGTGCATCTTCAATAGCAGGCAAATAAGGCAAGACTAATATTAGTGATTAGAAAGCCATGTATAATAGCGAGAAACCTCAACGACTTTGGTGGTTCACTGACAGATATCCATTATTTTCTGCCTGACGTTCTCATCAGCAGAGGGATTGAGGGGTTTTCTCAGGCTCCCAGGCAAAATGAGTTACTGTTTGAGCGTATCTTGATTAGACCAAAATGGATTTAGTCAGGCGCAGTTTTCGTAGACACGTAAACAGCAGGACTTTGTTGCAATTGCACGATCTGTGATCTGCGACCCGCTATAATTTGGCAGACAACAGTCAGACTTCTGTTGAAAGGTGCGTGGAGGTGGTCGTAGCATGGGGAGAGATATTTGATCAATGGTATATCTCAGATACCCACAGTTTCGTGCGAAATCGCAGAATCCAGTTATTCAGCGGGATCTGAATTCATGATTATGTCCAAAGTGATATCTTGCGACCATAATCCCCATCGCTTGTTGAATGCACACACACACAAGGCTAGTAAAAGGCATTGCGCGATGTTATGGCGGTCTCGGTAATCATGATCTCCGGCGAACTTGTCTCTTTCTGTTCTGACGGCGACTCTGCGGGGGTGATGTAGGCCTTTTCGAATCCTTCTGAAGGCGTTCTAGGCGTTCTTGGATGCGTGCACTCTTTCGAGTTGTGGTGTTCAATGGTTGAGCTTTTGATTTCGGGGCACGTTTTTTGGGTCTGTCTGGCGTTTGAGTCGTGCGCGAGTCTTTGGCGGTCGGATGTTGATGAGTAGGTTTCGAAGTAGGATTGTTCAATAGTAGGGGAAGCACGTGTATAACAAAGTTAATGCGATAATTACTTGCATCACTTCGAATAAATTCCAACATATTTTTCACAGCATGTTCATGTTTTATGGCTGACAAGTAGTCAAGAGAATCCAGAAGAATTCTTGTTTGAACAGCTCCGAACTGGGTTTCCAACGCCTTGTTTCTGCTCTGCCATTCTGACTTTAATGCGTGGATATCATAGTGTCTCATTTGTCCGTACTTGCCGGTACGAATGAGCTGTTCCATGATGTTGACAAAATCCGCGTTGTCGACAAAGAAGGATTCCCGCCGATTAGATGACAGTAACTCGTCAGCTTCAGCCGGCGACATACCTAGTCCCTCAAGATAATCTCTGCATTCATTGAGTTCAATAGGATACTCAGCGTAGGTTATTTGGGTAGACGGAGGGCTGGAGTGTAAAGCAGGATCCATGATGTGAGTTGTGATTGACTGGAGGTGTATGTATCCAAGTGAGTTGGAGTGGTGTGCTGGTTGTATCGCGTAACTCGCGACCCACATCGTGAACCTTGGCAACCCCTGCCGGGAATAATAACCGGACCGAGGCTGAAGGCTAACGGTACGCGCTGTATAAAAGATACACTCAATGTATTCTAATATTTAAGTATATATATGCATATCCCATTGCTCCATCGGATGCTTATCTCCAAATATCTTTACCTTATATTGACTTTGTATGGCCTATGACGATCGACCACCGATCCGGCCATCACCAAGCAGATATCGCGTGTGAAGCCGGCAAAGATCTAGGTTCCTGATCTTTCTCAAATCCAATAACGTAATCCACAGCCGAGCTGACCATACAACCGAGCTGACCATTTTCTCCGCAACCACAAGGATATTAAAGCTTTTCAACCACCAACGCCAT